CAAGTTCAAGAAGCAATAGTTAAAGTGCACAATTATCAGCAAAGCTAGTGGTGGTCACAACGGGCAAGTGAGGAGGAGGAGGGAGAGTGAGAGGAGAGGAGATAGAAGGCGGCGGCTGAAGCTGCAGACACACGGGTAACAGGAGTGGCGAGCACAGTGGCTACCGGACTAAGCGCCCGGACTACACGAGTAACAGGCCCCGCGGCTCAAGTAGCGGCAGACGGGCAACGGACCCACAGGCGACTGACGCAGCGACACGCTCACTGGGCTACCGGACTAAGCGCCCGGACTACAGGTGCTGCGGACAACAAGCTGGCAGCCTCCACTCAACCTCCCGCAAACAGTCCCACCCCCCCGACACACACCCGCTGCTATACCGCTAGCTCCACTCCCACCCACCCCCCTTAAACCCTAAACCCAAGACTCCCACACAACCACCCCCCTCAGCGAGAGCTGTAGCAGTGGGAGACGAAGGAGGAGGAGGAGGAGGGGACGGCACGCACAACCGACACCCCCACAACGAGCACCCCCACACTCACCCCCCACGGCTGCACCTGGTCCATGAGCGGCTGCTGCAGGGGCCAGGGGCGGCTGCTGTTGGTGCGGCTGCTCCAGTGGCTGCTGCTGCTGGGGCTGCTGCTCCAGGGGCTGCTGCTGGGGCGGCTCCAGGGGCTGATGCTGGGGCGGCTGCTCCTGGAGCTGCTGCTGCTGCTGCGGTGGCTCCTCCAGGGGCTGCTGTTGGGGCGGCTGCTGCTGCTCCAGGGGCTGCTGCAGCTTGGGTGGCCGCCCCAGAGGCGGCTGCTGCTGGGGCGGCTGCTCTAGTGGCTGCGGCTGGGGCGGCTGGTCCCGGGGCTGCTGCTGCTGGGGCAGCTGCTCCCGGGGCTGCTGCTGCTGGGGCGGCTCCAGGGGCTGCTGCTGGGGCGGCTCCAGGGGCTGCTGCTAGGGCGGCTGCTCCCAGGGCTGCCGCTGCTGCTGCTGCTGCTCCAGGGGCTGCTGCTCCCGGGGCTGCTGCTGCTGCTGCGGTGGCTCCTCCAGGGGCTGCGGCTGGGGCGGCTGCTCCCTGGGCTGCTGCTGCTGGGGCGGCTCCAGGGGCTGCTGCTGCTGGGGTGGCCGCTCCAGAGGGAGTTGCTGCTGGGGCGGCTCCAGGGGCTGCTGCTGCTGGGGTGGCCGCTCCAGAGGCAACTGCTGCTGGGGTGGCCGCTCCAGAGGCAGCTGCTGTCGGGGCGGCTGCTCCCGGGGCTGCTGGTGGGGCGGCTGCTCCCGGGGCTGCTGCTGGTGGGGCGGCCGCTCCAGGGGGTGCAGCTGCTGGGGCTGCTGCTGGGGCGGCTGCTCCTGGGGCTCCTGCAGCGGAAAGTAGGAGGTAGGGGAGGTGAAGGGCGCGGCCCCCATTGTGCCCTGAAGGGCGACGTGCTGGGGAGCCGCGCCGGTCCCCGAATGTGCCTCGACGGGCAACAAGAGGGGACCGCGCGCAGGCCCCTAAGGTGCCGCGATGAGGTAACGGGAGGGGCCGGCGCGCGGGCCCCGAAAGTGCCGCGACGAGGCGACGGGAGGGACCTGCGTGCGGGCCCCCAAAACGCCGCGACGAGGCGACGGTCGGGGCCAGCGCGCGGGCCCCCAAGACGCCGCGACGAGGTAGGTACCCGCCGCGCGCCTCGGGGCGCACGGCGGGCAGAAAACCGCCACGCGCCCCGAGCTCGTGGCGGGAAGAAAAATAGGTGGTCGCGCGCCACGGGGCGCACGACACACAATAGGGCAGCGGAATCGAGTGGGCCCACAGGCCAGGAGCGTTAAGCTCTAATACCATCTCAGAATCTTAAGCAAGGGTAGGCTTAGAAGCCATAGTGTAGGTGCCTAGGTGATCGAGTTCGAGAGGGTTAGGAAAGTATCGAGAGATCTTTTAAAGAGAAGGGGTTTCACTAGCAAGAGTTGGGATACAAGTACAATGCCCTAAATTGGGTTGTACTCATTACAGAGTACCCCACTGCAGGCTAGACAGCAAATATATTCTGACAGTTCCGATTTCACAGTCGGGAAAACAAAATTTCCGAGACGTTGTTCGATGAAATTGATTATCGACAGCAGAAGCCGTTTCTAGATTTTGGCAAGTCAGCATCTGCATTCGACGCGGAAAATGTCAAGCTGCGCATTCTCCCCATTCGTCAAAACGAAAGATTTCGACAGACGGAGCAAAGCGGTCGAGAAGTTTATTTCAGTCGACCAAGCATATCTATCGCCGCCAGCACCCTGTTTCACTTCTCTTTGTAGCATCGAGACTCACAATCACATAGATAATCAACAATGCTCGAGTTTTACTATACGTTAATACATATCGTGAACGTGGACAATCGACACAAGCAATGTTATTGTTGCAGTAGAGTTTGGCAGCTGCATTTAATTACCCCGTCGAACAGACCATAATTGTCTATGTAATAAATACAGAAAAAGCATCATATTCAACAAACTATAGCTTTCCAAATGATATGATTTTTACACTACCTGAAAAGATTGGTAGTTCACCTATGGCAGTGATTGGTTTTCAAACTCTCTTCGACAACACTTCGTTTTATGTCGACGATGGGACGGTCGACGACAAAAATGCTGTCGCAGGCTCTGCTCGACGGGATCCAGTCGACGACGCCGACGTGCATTGCTAATGCACATTAGTGGTCGACGAAACCCTTCGATGGGCACTGCTCGGCGTGCTGTGCTTGACGAGCTGGTCTCGGCGAATGCTGTTCGACCAAGCAGCGCCGAGCTGGTCGGTGAAAGTAACGCCTGACCCCTCGTCTTCGTAGGTTGAATCGGTCCCTGCAGCGTGCTAGAAAGGCTGGCCTCGGTGGTACAAGAATGCATTCTCATTAAGTTCATATTCACTGGCTCTACGGTGCACGGGTAGCGAGCGAAACCGTCGACAGGTGTTCTACCTGGCACCTGCGCATGAATAATATTAAAATTGATGATTACGTATAAATGAGAATTGTAGGGAATGCCCCTTTTTTTGTGCCTCCTATTCCTTATCAAGTTTGCCCATTGCAGTTTATGTATTTATTTGTTTACGTATACGCTTTTATTTCAGTGTCAGCTGTGCTCTGTATCGAACTGGTCTGTGGCGCGTTCTGCCGCGCTTTTCTCTGCACCACTTTCCGTCGGTTCGAGACGGAATCCGTCGACGGAGGCGGATTTACTCGACGAACAGGGGGGTTGGTGCAGGCGGGGTTGGTGCAGACCGGGGGGAGCACGTGGGGTCAACGCCAGCTCGAGCGAGGACCACCTCGCGTCACTCCGAGCTGGCGTGGCTCGATTCGGGCGGGCGGGTGGGCTGGCTCCCGCCCCTCGCGTGCCCCGCCACGCGACAGAGGGAAAACGAAAATCCCTCCGAGGGAAACCCGCAGGGGCGAAGGGGAGTCCTCGGAGGGATTCGGGCGAGGTCTTCCCAAAACCAACTACAGTGAAATTTCTGTATGGCAGAGAAGCAATTCTTACCATCATGATGGTACAGTGAATTTCTCATGATGTGTATTACATGGTTCAAACTTTGACCAGGAAAGTTATTTATAGAACCGTTTCCCATCATACTGTTAGTTCTTGATTTCACACTGCACCACGACACAACTACTCATTCATTGACTTTCCCTTATCTCTCCTATGGAACCATGACATGCCCATTCTTGGGAGATAAGGCACATACATGCACACAAACGTACTTGGAGGAATACGATTCTTCTACCGTCTCTGTGCAATTCGTATGCTCCATGGCGGGGAGACTTTTTGTTTGATACTACTACACCCTCTTTCTCGCCATTGTGAATTCGGTTATAGTGAAGTCAAGATAGGAAAAGCACGGTTAACGGTGGTTAGATCAAGTCTAGGTATGGTTCAATCAGACAAATCGAAGGTAACTAGGTTTTCCATCAGTTCAGCACAGTTCAGTGTAGTGAGAAACAGGGTGTAGTCAGGCAAAGCTACTTGTGCTACTATGCCGTATTTGAACGCGGATCGTGCTATGCTCTCAGCAGCTCGCACCGTCAGCGGGCTTCGAATTTCTGAATTGATGGCTTCGTTTCAGCTGTTTTCCGTTCCGAAGCATTGCGGGATTGTGACGTTGAAATGCTGACTATGCCTCGTGCCGGCTTCCACGCCCCAGCGACTTGCTAAGTCGGATGCTTAGCAAAACGATACCCCTACGTATAACTCCACTCCCTAACGGTCCCATCTCAACAATCCCTAACCCTATCAACCCGATCTCTCCTGTCAGATCCTGGACGTTCACATTCAGCGGAGTCGGAAGTCCAGATTGGCACCTCTTGGCCGTACAACAATAGACGATTTATTCTCTAGAATGTTCTTGGTAGATTCACCCAGCTTTCACGTTTCGATCCTGAGCGACTTGGGGTGCGGGTATTCTCGCAGCTGCGTCCATGGGAGGCTGTCTGGGAACCAGCAAGAACCACCCCGACCATCATGTACCGCAACAGATCGCTTCGAATCAGGTTTGTGCATTCTGGTTCGACCTTCCACCAGCTACTTACTATTCTCGCCGCTGCGTCCATGGGAGGTTGTCTAGGAACCGGCAAGAACCACCACCCGTCGCAACCGATCGTTTCGGATCAGGTCCGTCGAATCTCGCTCCGTTTCACGAGTCGCGCGCACGATGATTTGATTGAGAATAAGAGCCACGGATTTTAGTAGGTATGTCGGTATGTCAGAAGTAGTGCTTGGATCTGCGTTAGAATCTCATTCAACGTACATTCCAGTTTAGGCTTGAATCTCTTGTGTACGTCAGGAGCGTTAGCCTTTTAGAATGAGTGCTGAAGAGACGAAGAGGTGAATCTGGAGTCGACCCAAAGGTGGTGGTCTGTCGAATCGCGCTACACGAGATACGCGTTAGAGACTCGTCGGCTGTGCAGCAAATTCGTGTTTTTTTCAGAGAGCACGTGTCTGATCCAATCCCCCATATACACACATTCACACCATCCCGATCCTCTCTGTCGACGCGAGCTATGCAGAAAGGCGCAGATGAAGCTCCGGTCAGGACTCGCCCCACTCGCCCCACGCGCAGTCGGTCGGAAGCCGCGGCTACCGCGTGCCTTCCCCCCCGCTCACCCAAGCACTACTACCGCCGAACGGATGACCTCACGACGAGAACGGATAACGTCACGACGCCAACCGTTGGAGTCGATCCCGCCAGGGGAGCAGATGACGTCATACAGAAGGGGTCGGATGACGTCACGCCTAACGGCGTTCATAGCTCTGCGGCGAACGGGGTCCCCCTGAATGGAGATGGCGCTGCTGCGGTGAGGGTGGTGGTTCCTCCTTAGGTCCAGCAACGAAACTACAGGCACTGCCATTCTGCTGTTCCTTCGTTTCCTTCCATCGCCTTTACGGATTGTCCCTTTATCTGTTTGTATAGTGTATTTATTTGGGAGGGAAGTGGTTTCGTATGCGCCTTTTGTTCATGCTCCCTCTTCTCCCCCCCCCCCGCTCCCCCTTTCCTTTTCCCCTTTTCCCCTTCCCCGTTCCCCGTTCCCCCCTCCCCCCTCCCTTCCCGCCTCCCCCCCCTCCGCTAACCCCCCTCTTACGTTGCCTCTGCGAAGGGAGCGGCGCTAGCATTGGAGTCGAACCCAACATCCCCCGCACCACACCACCTCCACCACCACCACCACCACCACCACCAGCACCAGCACCAGCAATCCAAGTCACCCCAGCGCTACCAACAGCAGCAGCAAACGTCGCCGCGTCCCCAAGCACGCTCGCCTGAACCCACCAGATGGCCGCCCGAGCCCCCGTTAGAGTCACACCGTGGAAAAGGGACCGCCAGGGGGGTAACCCGAGAGGGGGGTATACGGGACCCAGAGGGCCCTGGTGAGGGGGGCAGTGAGGCGACGGACGGCTCTTCTCGAGGGAAGGGTTCTGCTGTGGTGTATGCAGCGGAGGGCCCGGTGAGGGAAGAGCGCCGGGACAGTGAAGCAGCAGCGGGAACAGCTGCGGCAGGAGCAGGAGCAGCAGGAGCAGCAGGTGATGCAGCATCAAGAGTAGAAGAAGTAGCAGATGCAAGTCCAGCCAAAGTGCTGGACTCAGCAACGGGAGGAGCTGCCGCAGCAGGAATCCTAGGAACAGCACCAGCAGCAGCAGCACCAGCAGCAGCACCAGCAGCAGCAGCACCAGCAGCAGCACCAGCAGCAGCAGCAGCAGCAGCAGCAGCAGCAGCTGCAGCAGGAGCAGCAGGCGCGATAGGAAGGGTACCGAGTCCCACAGCCGTGACCAAGCTGCCCGTGCCAGAGTTCTTTCCAGACACCACCGCAGACCCAGCAGACGCGTGGGTTCACCGCCCCCCCGTGGACGAGGGCAAACCTATTAGGTGGCGCAAGGGCGAGCTGATAGGCGCGGGCGCGTACGGGTGCGTGTACATGGGGCTCAATCTGGAGTCCGGCGAGCTGCTGGCCGTGAAGCAGGTGCTGATTCCGTCCGCCTCCACCACCAAAGACAAGGCGCAGGTGAGGGGAGGGGGGGATGGGGGACGGTGGGGGGGGGGAAGAGTGGGGGAATGGGGGGTGACTGCCTGGCTGTCTGGGTGTCTGGGTGTGCTTTGGCCTGCGTGAAAATGCCTGCGTGAAAGGGGGCGAGCTGATAGGCGGGGGCGAGCTGATAGGCGGGGGCGAGCTGATAGGAGCGGGCGCGTACGGGTGTGTGTACATGGGGCTGAATCTCGAGTCGGGCGAGCTGCTGGCCGTGAAGCAGGTGCTGATTCCGTCCGCCTTCACCACCAAAGACAAGGCGCAGGTCTGGGGGGAGGGGGGGGTGTGACTGGTTGCCTGGCTGTCTGGCTGTCTTGCTGTTCGGCTGTCTGCCTGGGTGTCTGGGTGCGCTTTGGCCTGTGTGAAAGGGAATGCGTGGAAGGGCGAGGTGATAGGCCGGGGCGCGTAGGGGTGTGTGTACATGGGGCGGAATTTGGGGCTGATCATGCTTTCATCTCCGCATTAAAATCTCATGGCTTTAGGTGTTCCGTTCGCCTCTTTTGTGTGCGACGATGCAGGAGTACATCAAGGGACTGGAAGGGAGTTCTCGGTAGTGGCCTTGGGGCAATGAGTATGTTTCTCACCTCTGCTATCCTCTGTCTGTGCGACGATGCAGGAGTATATCAAGGGACTGGAGGCGGAGGTGGCAGTACTCGAGAACCTCTCACATCCAAGCATCGTGGTTGGCCTTGCCTTCCTCTCCTCGTTAGTTTCTAGGCTTTAAGTGTTCATTTCACCTCTGTGTGTGCAACGATGCAGGAGTACATCAAGGGACTGGAGGCGGAGGTTGCAGTGCTGAGGAACCTGTCCCACCCGAACATTGTGGTGAGTCCCACTATCCCACAATCAGCACCTTGTTGCACGAGATAGCAGAATTCGTCTTCATGAGGTTCTTTGTGCTGCTCTCGCATCATATAATGACACCTGCTTTGATACCTGCTTTGATACCTGCTTTGACACCTGCTTTGATACCTGCTTTGACACGTGCTTTGACACGTGCTTCTACCCTCATGACGTGTGGCAGCGGCGCTATCTGGGCACGGCGAGGGAGGAGGAGGCACTCAACATCTCATTGTGCTGGGGTGACTTTTGAGTCGACTCAAAAGTCACATCTCAATGTGCTGGCACTTGTTGGCACAATATGAATGAATCTGGCACTTGTTGGCACAATATGAATGAATCTGGCACTTGTTGGCACAATATGAATGAATCTGGCACTTGTTGGCACAATATGAATGAATCTGGCACTTGTTGGCACAATATGAATGAATCTGGCACTTGTTGGCACAATATGAATGAATCTGGCACTTGTTGGCACAATATGAATGAATCTGGCACTTGTTGGCACAATATGAATGAATCTGGCACTTGTTGGCACAATATGAATGAATCTGGCACTTGTTGGCACAATATGAATGAATCTGGCACTTGTTGGCACAATATGAATGAATCTGGCACTTGTTGGCACAATATGAATGAATCTGGCACTTGTTGGCACAATATGAATGAATCTGGCACTTGTTGGCACAATATGAATGAATCTGGCACTTGTTGGCACAATATGAATGAATCTGGCACTTGTTGGCACAATATGAATGAATCTGGCACTTGTTGGCACAATATGAATGAATCTGGCACTTGTTGGCACAATATGAATGAATCTGGCACTTGTTGGCACAATATGAATGAATCTGGCACTGCCTCTGTGTTGCATTCATGTGCGTCGTCTCATGTGTGTGTGTGTGTCGTGTGGCAGCGCTATCTGGGCACGGCGAGGGAGGAGGAGGCGCTCAACTAAGGAGCTGGCACTAGGTGGCACTAGATTCCGTGTCCGGCTTGCTTGCACTGCATTCATGTGTGTTGTATGTGTGTGTGTTGTGTGTGTGTGTGTCGTGTGTGTGGCAGCGCTATCTGGGCACGGCGAGGGAGGAGGAGGCGCTCAACATCTTCCTGGAGTTCGTCCCTGGGGGTTCAATCGCCTCTCTGCTCAACAAGTTTGGGTGCTTCACGGAAAAGGTGGGGCCCTCTGATGCATGTACCTGGATGGATTTCCTTGGGATCTTCTCTTGCACCCCCGGATTCAAAGATTTGTCTTTGAAACTTTGATGCGGATTGAAACATTGATTTGAAACATTCGGCTACCTATTGCATTGAGTTATATATTGGTTGGTGTTTTTGCTGTCTTGTCGTGTGCTGGCATGGCAGGTCATCCGCATGTACACGCGGCAGCTGATGACTGGCTTGAGCTACCTTCACTATAATCACATCATGCACCGCGATATCAAGGTGAGGCTCGCCGCAATGAGTTTCGAGACGTCTCGAACACTATCCACCTTTCACTAAAAGCACAACTGCGCAATGTTGTGAACATGATATCACATCATACCCTTTCCTCTCCCTGATCCCCCCCCACCCCTGCCAGCCAACACTCTGGTGGGCAACAGGGGGTGCATCAAGCTTGCAGACTTTGGAGCGTCGATCCACAACGCTCCTGCTTCTCTCCCTCCGCCCCCCCCTGTTCTCTCCACTCATCTTCCGCACAACCCCCTCCCCCCCCACACCCCAGGGCGCCAACATTCTGGTCGACAACAGAGGGTGCATCAAGCTGGCGGACTTTGGGGCGTCACGGAAGTTAGCAGATCTGGCAACGATGAGTGGGCACAAGTCCATGAAGGGCACTCCCTACTGGATGGCGCCAGAGGTCATCAAACAGACGGGCCATGGCAGGTAGGCGCCTCCTGTGTGTGCTTGTGTGTGTCTCTCTCTGTGTCTGCGTGTGCACAGTCATTGAGATGGCGACGGGCAAGCCACCCAAGAGCGAGATCACACTGCGGAACTCCTTTCCTTCTCCTGTCTTCCTCGCTGCCTCTCTCTCTCTGCATTGCAGGCCAGCAGACATCTGGAGTGTAGCATGCACAGTCATTGAGATGGCGACAGGCAAGCCGCCTTGGAGCGAATTCCTCTCCCAGGTACCATCCTCCTTCCCTCCACATCCTCCTCATCACGTCCTTCTCTTCACGTCCTTCTCTTCACGTCCTTCTCTTCACGTCCCTTTTTCCTTGCCCACGCCATTGCCCTTGCTCACACTGATCAAGCCTGAGCGCTGGTCCACATAGCGCGCACAATCCAAGGGCACCCGCCGCCCATTGCACAGATGTTGGAGCCCATTGCACAGATGTTGGAGCCCATTGCACAGATGTTGGAGCCCATTGCACAGATGTTGGAGCCCATTGCACAGATGTTGGAGCCCATTGCACAGATGTTGGAGCCCACGACCCCCTCGCCCCACCATGTGCCATCCCGAGTTTCCCCCACCCCACCCCACCCTCTCATGGCCCCTCATTACTCAGGAATCAGCGCTGTTCCACATAGCACAGTCCAAGGGCCTGCCTCTCATCCCACAGCTACTGATCCAAGGGCTCTCACCTTATCATGCCTCTCCCACCGGGCCCCCCTCTCCTTGAGCAGGTGTCAGCGCTGTTCCACATAGCACAGTCCAAGGGCCGGCCTCTCATCCCACAGCTACTGATCCAAGGGCTCTCACCTTATCATGCCTCTCCCACCGGGCCCCCCTCTCCTTGAGCAGGTGTCAGCGCTGTTCCACATAGCACAGTCCAAGGGCCGGCCTCTCATCCCACAGCTACTGATCCAAGGGCTCTCACCTTATCATGCCTCTCCCACCGGGCCCCCCTCTCCTTGAGCAGGTGTCAGCGCTGTTCCACATAGCACAGTCCAAGGGCCTGCCTCTCATCCCACAGCTACTGATCCAAGGGCTCTCACCTTATCATGCCTCTCCCACCGGGCCCCCCTCTCCTTGAGCAGGTGTCAGCGCTGTTCCACATAGCACAGTCCAAGGGCCTGCCTCTCATCCCACAGCTACTGATCCAAGGGCTCTCACCTTATCATGCCTCTCCCACCGGGCCCCCCTCTCCTTGAGCAGGTGTCAGCGCTGTTCCACATAGCACAGTCCAAGGGCCGGCCTCTCATCCCACAGCTACTGATCCAAGGGCTCTCACCTTATCATGCCTCTCCCACCGGGCCCCCCTCTCCTTGAGCAGGTGTCAGCGCTGTTCCACATAGCACAGTCCAAGGGCCTGCCTCTCATCCCACAGCTACTGATCCAAGGGCTCTCACCTTATCATGCCTCTCCCACCGGGCCCCCCTCTCCTTGAGCAGGTGTCAGCGCTGTTCCACATAGCACAGTCCAAGGGCCTGCCTCTCATCCCACAGCTACTGATCCAAGGGCTCTCACCTTATCATGCCTCTCCCACCGGGCCCCCCTCTCCTTGAGCAGGTGTCAGCGCTGTTCCACATAGCACAGTCCAAGGGCCGGCCTCTCATCCCACAGCTACTGATCCAAGGGCTCTCACCTTATCATGCCTCTCCCACCGGGCCCCCCTCTCCTTGAGCAGGTGTCAGCGCTGTTCCACATAGCACAGTCCAAGGGCCTGCCTCTCATCCCACAGCTACTGATCCAAGGGCTCTCACCTTATCATGCCTCTCCCACCGGGCCCCCCTCTCCTTGAGCAGGTGTCAGCGCTGTTCCACATAGCACAGTCCAAGGGCCTGCCTCTCATCCCACAGCTACTGATCCAAGGGCTCTCACCTTATCATGCCTCTCCCACCGGGCCCCCCTCTCCTTGAGCAGGTGTCAGCGCTGTTCCACATAGCACAGTCCAAGGGCCGGCCTCTCATCCCACAGCTACTGATCCAAGGGCTCTCACCTTATCATGCCTCTCCCACCGGGCCCCCCTCTCCTTGAGCAGGTGTCAGCGCTGTTCCACATAGCACAGTCCAAGGGCCTGCCTCTCATCCCACAGCTACTGATCCAAGGGCTCTCACCTTATCATGCCTCTCCCACCGGCCCCCCCTCTCCTTGAGCAGGTGTCAGCGCTGTTCCACATAGCACAGTCCAAGGGCCTGCCTCTCATCCCACAGCTACTGATCCAAGGGCTCTCACCTTATCATGCCTCTCCCACCGGGCCCCCCTCTCCTTGAGCAGGTGTCAGCGCTGTTCCACATAGCACAGTCCAAGGGCCTGCCTCTCATCCCACAGCTACTGATCCAAGGGCTCTCACCTTATCATGCCTCTCCCACCGGGCCCCCCTCTCCTTGAGCAGGTGTCAGCGCTGTTCCACATAGCACAGTCCAAGGGCCTGCCTCTCATCCCACAGCTACTGATCCAAGGGCTCTCACCTTATCATGCCTCTCCCACCGGGCCCCCCTCTCCTTGAGCAGGTGTCAGCGCTGTTCCACATAGCACAGTCCAAGGGCCTGCCTCTCATCCCACAGCTACTGATCCAAGGGCTCTCACCTTATCATGCCTCTCCCACCGGGCCCCCCTCTCCTTGAGCAGGTGTCAGCGCTGTTCCACATAGCACAGTCCAAGGGCCGGCCTCTCATCCCACAGCTACTGATCCAAGGGCTCTCACCTTATCATGCCTCTCCCACCGGGCCCCCCTCTCCTTGAGCAGGTGTCAGCGCTGTTCCACATAGCACAGTCCAAGGGCCTGCCTCTCATCCCACAGCTACTGATCCAAGGGCTCTCACCTTATCATGCCTCTCCCACCGGCCCCCCCTCTCCTTGAGCAGGTGTCAGCGCTGTTCCACATAGCACAGTCCAAGGGCCTGCCTCTCATCCCACAGCTACTGATCCAAGGGCTCTCACCTTATCATGCCTCTCCCACCGGGCCCCCCTCTCCTTGAGCAGGTGTCAGCGCTGTTCCACATAGCACAGTCCAAGGGCCTGCCTCTCATCCCACAGCTACTGATCCAAGGGCTCTCACCTTATCATGCCTCTCCCACCGGGCCCCCCTCTCCTTGAGCAGGTGTCAGCGCTGTTCCACATAGCACAGTCCAAGGGCCTGCCTCTCATCCCACAGCTACTGATCCAAGGGCTCTCACCTTATCATGCCTCTCCCACCGGGCCCCCCTCTCCTTGAGCAGGTGTCAGCGCTGTTCCACATAGCACAGTCCAAGGGCCTGCCTCTCATCCCACAGCTACTGATCCAAGGGCTCTCACCTTATCATGCCTCTCCCACCGGGCCCCCCTCTCCTTGAGCAGGTGTCAGCGCTGTTCCACATAGCACAGTCCAAGGGCCTGCCTCTCATCCCACAGCTACTGATCCAAGGGCTCTCACCTTATCATGCCTCTCCCACCGGGCCCCCCTCTCCTTGAGCAGGTGTCAGCGCTGTTCCACATAGCACAGTCCAAGGGCCTGCCTCTCATCCCACAGCTACTGATCCAAGGGCTCTCACCTTATCATGCCTCTCCCACCGGGCCCCCCTCTCCTTGAGCAGGTGTCAGCGCTGTTCCACATAGCACAGTCCAAGGGCCTGCCTCTCATCCCACAGCTACTGATCCAAGGGCTCTCACCTTATCATGCCTCTCCCACCGGGCCCCCCTCTCCTTGAGCAGGTGTCAGCGCTGTTCCACATAGCACAGTCCAAGGGCCTGCCTCTCATCCCACAGCTACTGATCCAAGGGCTCTCACCTTATCATGCCTCTCCCACCGGGCCCCCCTCTCCTTGAGCAGGTGTCAGCGCTGTTCCACATAGCACAGTCCAAGGGCCTGCCTCTCATCCCACAGCTACTGATCCAAGGGCTCTCACCTTATCATGCCTCTCCCACCGGGCCCCCCTCTCCTTGAGCAGGTGTCAGCGCTGTTCCACATAGCACAGTCCAAGGGCCTGCCTCTCATCCCACAGCTACTGATCCAAGGGCTCTCACCTTATCATGCCTCTCCCACCGGGCCCCCCTCTCCTTGAGCAGGTGTCAGCGCTGTTCCACATAGCACAGTCCAAGGGCCTGCCTCTCATCCCACAGCTACTGATCCAAGGGCTCTCACCTTATCATGCCTCTCCCACCGGGCCCCCCTCTCCTTGAGCAGGTGTCAGCGCTGTTCCACATAGCACAGTCCAAGGGCCTGCCTCTCATCCCACAGCTACTGATCCAAGGGCTCTCACCTTATCATGCCTCTCCCACCGGGCCCCCCTCTCCTTGAGCAGGTGTCAGCGCTGTTCCACATAGCACAGTCCAAGGGCCCGCCTCTCATTCCCGACCATCTGTCTGCGGACGCAAAGGACTTTCTGCTGCGCTGCTTCCACCGGTGCGGCCCCCCTCTCTGCTACTGTCTCCAAAGGGACTCTCTATCTATGCTTGTGATTCCTTTTGAGAGGTCTTGAAGCCTGTGTTCTGCGAGGTTTTCATGCTGACTTTTGAGTCGACTCAAAAGTCAGATTCCTTTCGAGAGGATTTGAAGCTTGTGTTCTGCGAGGTTTTCATGCTCTCTCTCTGCTCAAGCCTCCGCCACAGTTGCTTTCAGTTTCCCCCCACCACCTCAATTCATCTCGCATCTGTCTGTGCATATATGTTCCCATACCCCTGTGCGTGCCACTCCTCAGTGATCCAAACAAGCGCCCAAGTGCGGCTGACCTTCTCAAGGTAAGCTTTTCACCTAATAGTTTGGCCTGGCACGCTGCTGTGTCAGGTGTTTTTTTTCTTTCTTTCGATCTCCTTTTTCTTTTTCTGCAATGCAATGCATCCGAGTTCTACTGTGTAGCCAATGCGCGTCGTCATCCTCTGCCCCTCCCACCTCCCCTTGTATCCTTCCTTTTCCGCTACCCCACCTCTGTCGCCTTCTTCCCCCATCCCTCTGCTCTCCTCACAGCCACTTGCTCCTCCTCCTCTCATCTCTCTCTCCCACCCCCTGGTCTTCCTTCTTCCCCTGCCCCTCCTCTTGATCACCGCAGCACCCCTTCCTGACAGACATGCCTTCGACCATGGCTGACACTCAGACAACCCCCCCTCGCTCCACCACCACAACAGCAACAGCAGCAACAGCAGTTAAGTCAGAAGCAGTAGCAGCAGCGGGAGGAGGAGGAACAGCAGCAGTTGCGACTGCAAAAGCAGGCACGCCCGCAGATGCAGCAGCAGGCACCCCACTCTCTCCCACTGCTTGTGGGAGGTTGCAGGGGTCAGCTGCCGCTGCTGCCGCTGCTGTCACTGCTGCCAATGCTGCTGCTACAGCTGCTGATTCGACCCTCAATGGCTTAAGAGAGGTCAGTGTCGGTGTCGATCTCAGTGTCAGTGTCAGTGTCGGTATCAGTGTCAGTGTCGGTGTCATCCCATGTCAAACCAGGGTGGTTGCTGTGACTAGGGATGAGCAAGGTGGCGAACACCTGTTCGGTTCGCCTCGAACGTGTTCGAGGCGAACCGAACAGGTTTTGTTTTTTAGCTCAAATCGTTCGCCGAACAGTGCTCGATGTTCGCCCGAACACGTTCGTGTTCGGGCCGCTGCTGAAATTTGCCCGCGACGAACACGAACAGTGTTCGAGGTTCGCCCGAACACGCCTCCACAGGCGAACAGCGAACACCTGTTTTTTCCCAAACTGTTCGCCGAACCGAACAGTGTTCGGTTCAGCAAAAGAGGGTGTTCGACAAGGGGCGAAGACGAACATGTTCGTGTTCGCCCTTTGCTCATCCCTAGCTGTGACAACCCAGTATTCGCCTGTACTGCTGCCAAATCGTTCATCCCCTGTGGCCACATCTCTATCGTCGCCGCATCGATCCCAGCCTTTTTTTCTCCCCCTTCTTTCTCCCTCCCCCTCCCCATCCCTCTCCCTCTCCCTCTCCCTCTCCCTCTCCCTCTCCCTCTCCCTCTCCCTCTCCCCCTCCCTCTCCCTCTCCCTCTCCCTATCCCTCTCCCTCTCCCTCTCCCTCTCCCTCTCCCTCTCCCTCTCCCTCTCCCTCTCCCTCTCCCTCTCCCTCTCCCTCTCCCTCTCCCTCTCCCTCTCCCTATCCCTCTCCCTCTCCCTCTCCCTCTCCCTCTCCCTCTCCCTCTCCCTCTCCCTCTCCCTCTCCCCCTCCCTCTCCCTCTCCCTCTCCCTCTCCCTCTCCCTCTCCCTCTCCCTCTCCCTCTCCCCCTGTTATACTCTATGCTCACCACCTGTTTCAGGCACCTCTCTCCCCCACCAGCCCTCCGGACTACTGGCATGACACGCTCCCTGGTAGCCCCTCCCTTGCCTCCCCTCACCATCACCAACACGCACCCACCAGCCCCCGCCTTGCTGACAATACTGACACGCCTACTTCTCGCCTAACACACCACCTGACCCCCCCCACCTCGCGCCTAACACCCCAGAGCACGCACAACTCTCGCCTAACAGAAACCACTCTCCATGACACCTTACAGACGCCTTTGGACAGTGACTCGCCCGACCCTGCTCCTTCTGCTTCCTTCTCCCATAATCTGGCTGATCTTACCCACTCAAGGGACGCTGGGGAACAAGGGCAGGGACACGATTGGCAGGGGCAGAGGCAGGGACAGGGGAAGGAGCAGAGGCAGGAGCAGCAGGGGAAGGGGGGGGAGGGGAAGGAAGGCGAGGGGGTGCGCATGTCACGGGCGAATCTCATGTCAGTAACCAGCACTGCATGGCAGCCTGGAACCTTCTCGGAGCTTTCTGACCTCTCGTTTCGGGTGAGTTTCTAAAGGCGTACACGCGAACAAGTTTTTTTTTTTTTTTTTTTTTTTTTCGTTCTTTCTTTCTTTCTTTCTTTCTTTCCCCGCTCATCTCTTTTCTCCCAATTGCCCTTCTGCGTCCATCTTCCATACCCCTTCTTCCCCCCTCCCCGTCAGAGCGATTTCAACCCGATGGAGGAGCCATCGCACAACGACCCGCTAGGCTCATACGTGACAGCAGCGCGGGGGCACGGGGGCGAGTCGTCTGCTTGCACTGAGGACGAGGTTACAGGGCCTCTCAGAGAGCACGTGGGCGCGGATAGTGCCTCCCGGGAGGATATGTGCTCTGATTCACTGGGTGGGACGAGCAGTGGAGCAGTGGGAGAGAGGGGAGACCGGGGAGAGGGAGAGGGAGAGGGAAGGGGGAAGGAGAGGGGGGACGAGGGGGAGAGTGGGGAGGTGGAGGGAGGAGAGAAGAAGGGATGGGAGGGGGGCAGGGCTGGTGGAGGGGGGAGGGAGGGGCAGGAGAGGGGAGGGGAGGATTGTGTGGCTGTGATGCTCAGTCGTGGGAGTGCAGGCGGGCAGGAGTTGAAGCAAGGGCAGGAGAGGAAGGAAGGGCAGCAGAAGCTGCCAGTGGAAGGGCCGAGACAAGCGGAGGAGTTGAGAGCAGCTGAGCAGGTTAGGGCAGCAGAGGGGCTGAGAGCAGCAGAGGAGCTGAGACAATCTCTGCCCCAGCTCGACTTATCTCTAGCAATGTCACACGGCCTAGAGGACTCACACGGCCGGGGGGGTCCAGACGAAGCGGATGGTGTGCTGGCAGTGCAGCAGCAAACAGAACAGCAGGCGGAGCGGCAGGAAATGCAGCAGAGAGTACAGCAGGGAGAGCAGCAGGCGGCAGTGGGTGGTGAGAAAATCGGTAGGCCTTCCTCCCCTGCAATGCTGAAGCAGGGTCACAACACGCCAGGGCAGGCCACCGTACCCAGCCGGCCTGCTGGGCTCTCCCCCTCTCCCCGCCGCCATCGCGAGTCCTCTCCTGCCCGCAAGAAGCGGATTCTGAAAGAGAGCTTTGTACTTCCACGGGATTTGTCACCCTCTGCCCGCATGCAACCAGGTGCAGCAGCAGCAGCAGTGACAGGAGCAACGGCCGCTGCAGCAGCAGCAGCAGCAGCAGCAACACCAGCACCGGCAGTGGTGACGGCAGCGGCAACAGGACCTGCAGCAGCCCTCTCTTCTCCCTCCACTGCCACTCAAAGCCCGTCCCCCTCCCTCCCCTCCCCCTCCCGCCGCTCCGCCTCCCCCTCTTCCTCCTCCTCTGCCCGCCGATCCCACCACCTACCTTCCCGAATCATCCACTCGATCAGCCAATCAGCTATCTCCGTTCCTGGACCCGTCTCATCCCCCTCCTATCACAGCTTTGAAGGGCCCCTCTCAGGGAAAGCAGGGGAGGGGCATAGGGTTACCCGCACCCCCTCTCATGGGAGTGAACAGAGAGCAGTGGGGAGTGAGAGGAGTGAGAGTGAGAGCAGAGGAGGGGAAGGTGGGTCGGGGAGGGCGCCGACTCTTTCCCCTCGGCCGCCTGGGATTGTCAGCAGCAAGTCGGGCAGCTGGGTGAACAGCAGCGAGGGCGACTTTTCTGGGCGGCAGCACCCGGGCAGCTTTGAAGGTTTTGGGCAGGAGGGGAGGTTTGGGAGGCAGGGGAGTGGAGCGTTGCACAGAGGGGGGAGAGGGAGCGTGAGCACCAGTCGAGCATCGGTTGGGGGAGGAGGGGTTGGAGGTTCAGTAGTGGGGTTAGGAGGAGTGGGGAGGGTTTTGAGTGGTGGGGGAGGGGTGCCGGTGGGGAGGAGTGGGTCGGGAGGGAGCTTGTTTGCGAGTGGAGTGGGAGGGGTGATGTACCCTTCTGGAGGGAACGTCTTGGCCCTGCTACATGACAGCACTGACAGGTAGGTGGGGGGAGGTCATGTTTATCCTGTTTTTTTATACTAAGACATTGAGGGTGGCAACAGTTTGGCGCTGCTCAGTCGTGGCAGCCCACCATTCTCCTGTTTGCGAACTGCTTGTTGCAATTTTACTGACTCATTCCTGTGGCCTGTCCCTTGGTGACGTCATCTGCAGCTTTGTTGGCCAATCCGGGGACCTCAAGCGACAGCAGTGGGAGGCAGAGCTACAGCAGGAACTGGCATTGCAGCGAGGTGCGTGTGTGTAATAGGATAGCTGGCAAACGAAACAGATCTAGCAAAAGGTCCAGCAGCAACTGAATGTGACTCTCTTGCAGCATTTAAGGCGTGCCTCCTTCCCACCCTCCTCTTTGCTTGGCAGAGGAGAAGCGCAAGCAGATGTCTCGGTCGAGCAGCAACAGCAGCGCTGCAGGAGGGGTAGGTGCCAGCCACGCCAACAGCATCGGCAGCGCCAGCAACGTCAGCGGCAGCCATGCCAGTGCTGTTGGCAGTGCAAGCACAAGCATCAGTGCGAGTGCGAGTGGGTCTCGAGAGTTCTTTGGACCGCCAGGCTCCGTCTCCTCTCCACGCAGAAACCCGCCGGTCTAACTGCCAGGAGCGACTTTTAAGAAGGAGAAGCTTCCAATTGGCTGCCATTCCTAAGATCTTGCTGAGCTGACCCACAAGACACTTCCACCCACCCATCCAACAACCCATCCAATCACCCATTCTAACACCCATCCACCCAGGCTAACCGCTCCTCACTACTAACTTTCCAGCAGCCTCGCCATCTGCAGCAGAACTTGATTACCGGTATAAGACATTCATTTTCTCCATCCACCCTTCTATCCTTCCCACATCCATCCACCTACCCACCAAGGCTAGCACACCTCCCTAACCTTCCTTCGCCTCCAGATTTCTGATTGACCTGAAGCCGCTGCTAGTAAGATGGCCTTGCACCCAGCCCAACCTGACCCAACCCAGACCAACTCAACCCAATCCAGCACACATAAGCTTACGGTAGTGGTGCTGGTGCTTAGTTATTGAGTGCTTCAATTCAACTGCCCCGATTCCTGGTTTGCTGGTGGCTGTTGTGTTGCAGTTTGCAATGCCAGCTGCAAGTGTACTGGGTCGGTAGAGTGGCTGTTGCAACCTAAATCATTATATTCCCTCAACTAGTGTGTTCTTTTGTGGTGTGTTTGAATTCGTAGTGGTGTTTGTTTGCAGAGTATTCTTATTACAGCGCCGCTTAATCACTAGCTTTGCAAGGTGTACAAGGGATGCAGTGTACATGTTATACAACAACGGCAGCAAATTACGGTATACATAGTAGATGCTTTGTTCTACCATATCCCAGTACTGGTAACTTGAATGCTTAATCGTCTTCATCTGCTTTTGAGTCGACTCAAGAGCATTATACATAGTACATGCTATCTACTGTATTCCTGTACTGGAAACTAGAATACTTGCTCCTCTTCATCTGACAGCGAATCATCTGCCAGCTCAGACAGCCAATCAAAAACCTCCAGCTGTGCAGCTCTCCTGACTCCACCTGCTAGTGTCATGCTTGCCTGCTTCACTAAAGGCTGCTCTGCTACTGGCGCTGTTCCTCTTTGCAAGAGCACCTGTGGTGCAGGGTTTAGAGTTGGAGAAGCTGTTGAGGCTGTTGGTGAAGCCATTGACTGCCAGGCAGCACCAGCAGGAGAAGCAGAACCAGAAGCACCAGTAGCACCAGAAGCGCCAATAGCGCCAGCAGCAGGAGAACGGGCAGCTGTAGCACGGTGGTGGGAAGCAGGGGAAGCAGCAGCAGGAGGAGCAGCAGCACCAAGAGAAGGAACGGCAGTGGTGGCAGAAGGAAGAGCAGTGGGAGGAGCAGCAGCAGCAGCAGGGGGAGCAGGGCGAGCAGGGGCAGCAGCAGCAACAGCGGTGGCGGCAGGGCGAGCAGGGGAGGTAGAGTTGGGCCACTTGGCTCGTAGGGCATGGAGGATGGCCCGTGCCTCATGCACCGCTGCTCTCCGCTCCTCAGGCAAACCGGGACTTACTCTCTCACATGCTTCCGGACCGGATTTTTGACAAGCTAATCCGTCAGATGGTTCTAGACCGGACCTCTGACGCTCTAAACTCTCTGGCAATCTCTGACGCTCAAATCGCTCAGATGCTTGTGCCAAGGCTCGTGGTCCTGCTCGTGGTCCTGCTCCCCCTGCTCCTACTCCTGCTCCGCTTCCTACTACTGCTCCCCCTGCTGCTGATGTCTCGTCTGCCCCATGTCCCCCTCCCCGATGCCCTGTCTCCTCCGCAACCCGTGCTCCCTGGCGCATCCCTTTGGCTCTGGCTGGAAGCCCAGCCGACCGGAGGCGGCGGAGGGGAGCAGGGTGGGCGTGGGCCAGGGGAGGGTGTATCAGAGGGGGGTTGAAGGCAGAGACTGGAAAGGAGGGGTTGGTCAGAGAGGGGTTAGAGGCAGAGGCAGAGACGGGTAAGGGATCAGAGGAGGTGGAGTGGACAGGAGGGGGTGGAAGAGAAGGGACGGGAGCGGGACGGATGGGACCAAATGCGAAGAGCTGTGAGAGGAAGGCGGAAGGAGTGGTGGGGGTGGGGAAGAGAGGAGGAGGTGCAGGTGGGAGGAGGAGGTGGGAGGAACTGTGGAAGAGAGGGGGGGAGCCGTTGGAGTCCTGAGAGGGTGGAGTGTGGGGGGAGAGGGAAGCGGGGGAGAGAGGGGGAGTGGAGGTGGGAGAGAGAGGAGGGGTGGCAGAGAGCAGAGGTGTGGGAGGAGGAGGAGAGCAGGAGGTGTGCGGAGACAGGGAGGCTGTAAGCGACTGTGGTGCATTGGTTGGCAAGGCCTTTGGAAGAGGAGGAGAATCAGATGTGCCAGCAACAGCTAGGGCGCTGGTAGCATGAGAGTTGATTGTTGGTGCATGTGAGGTGATTGTTGGTGCATGCGAGGTGATTGTTGGTGCATGTGAGGTGATTGTTGGTACATGTGAGGTGATTGTTGGTGCATGTGAGGTGATTGTTGGTACATGTGAGGTGATTGTTGGTGCATGTGAGGTGATTGTTGGTACATGTGAGGTGATTGTTGGTGCATGTGAGGTGATTGTTGGTGCATGTGAGGTGATTGTTGGTGCATGTGAGGTGATTGTTGGTGCATGTGAGGTGATTGTTGGTGCATGTGAGGTGATTGTTGGTGCATGTGAGGTGATTTCCCTTGCATCAACGGAAGGCTTTATGGCGTTGCCAACTGCATCACGAGCATCTGAAGAAGCACCTGAATTAGCACCTGAAACATCACAAGAACCACCAACACGCGCTGCACCATCTGTACTTCCTTGTGGCAACTCTGAGCCGTCCATTAAGCCCGATCTTCTCTGAGAATGCATCACAGCCGTTGATCCTCTAAGAGCCATCTCCCTAAGCTCACACGCCTCCCTGCCATGATGCCACGAAGTCAGCCTATGCACGCTCACACCCCCCACCAACAGAGCTGCGTTTCCTCCAGGTGATTCTTCAGGTAATTTTTCAGGTAAGTACTCTTGAGGCACCGTTGAGAACGCCTTCTCCCGGTCAAGTGATTGGCCACCTGCTGTCCGGCCGTCTTTCGCCAATCCAGGTGCTTCGACTTGCCACTGTTCCAGCTCTGGTGGTGCTGCCGTGTGCTCCCCCAACTGCTCATAATGTCGCTTCTGCGGTGCTTTCAAGTCTTGCTGCCATTGCTTTTGAAGCGGCTGCTGCTCGTGCTGTGGCTGCTGATGCTGCTGCCCCTGCCTACGCCTTTCAACACCCTCCTCACCCTCTCTCCACACATCACCCTCCATCCTGTCTGCCGCCCGCATATCAAATCCCACCGCAACCACCTGCTTGCCACCCAAGTCCCCACCCCTCGCCAACGGTCTTGACAGCCTACCCAAGCGTGCCAGCTGGACTGCCAGCTGGCGGGAGAGCCCTGCCACAGCTGCTTCTGCTGCACCGCCCTCCCTCACTGCATGTGCCCTCTCTGCTGCAAGTGCTGTCAAATGCGCTCTCAGAGTGGCAGCGGCATCTCGAGAAGAATCGAGAATGGTGCTCCTAGATTCAGGTGCTTCAGGTAACCCAGACGTCAATGGTGGCTCAGTTCCCTCAGGTGCCTCAGGTGCCCCAGGTGCCTCAGGTGCCCCAGGTGCCCCAGGTGCCTCAGGTGCCTCAGGTGCCTCAGGTGCCCCAGGTGCCTCAGGTGCCTCAGGTGCCCCAGGTGCCTCAGGTGCCTCAGGTGCCCCAGGTGCCCCAGGTGCCTCAGGTGCCTCAGGTGCCCCAGGTGCCTCAGGTCCCTCAGAGGCATCTCCGGGTGAATCGCGTTCTAAAACGCTCCCATGCGAATCGAGTGCTATTTCTCTCGCATGCACACCACGATCTACTGTGGACGACTCATTCGAACCCTGATAGGGATTGAGCTTTTCAGAATTGCGTGGCATAGAATCAAGGTACGCACTCCCTTGCGCCTGCTCCACACCGCTGCTACTGCTGCTGCCGACTCTGCTGCTGCCGACTCTGCTGCTGCCGACTCTGCTGCTGCCGACTCTGCTGCTGCCGACTCTGCTGCTGCCGACTCTGCTGCTGCCAACTCTGCTGCTGCCGACTCTGCTGCTGCCGACTCTGCTGCTGCCGACTCTGCTGCTGCTGACTCCGGCTGAAATGCAGGAGCTGGTTTGATAATTCTGCTGCTTGTAATCACTACTACCTTGCTCCTGCTCCACACCGCCACTACTCCTTCTGCCTGCACTGCAAGAGCTGCTCTCAGTGCTCTGCTGATTGCAATGATCAATCAACCGCTCCTGCTGCACCACGCTGCTGCTGTTGTTGCTGCTGTTGCTGCTGCTGCTGCTGCCACCGCCTCTGCCTGCATTGCAAGAGCTGCTCTCAGCAGTGTGCTGGCACAGGTGACCCCTCAGATGCCCCCCCTCCATCCCACTGCTGCTGTTGCAGCCTCTGCTGTCACTGCGAGAGTTGCTTTCGGCAATCTGTTCTTGACAGTAACCACTCAGCTGCTCCTGCTGCACTCTGCTGCTGCTATCGCCTCTATCGCCCTCCACTGAATGCTCTACACCTTTGAAACGTCCCAGAACCGAAGTGCACCTGTCAACACTCTGCGGCCTGACCTCCTCACTCCCCGCCTCCCTACGCCCATCCACCTCATCCTTCTCTTGTCTACTCATATCCGCCTCAAAACTAGACTTCTCTCGTCTACTCATATCCGCATCGCCCTCCTCCCTCCCACGTCTCTCCTTCTCATTCCCCACCCCTCTATCCCTATCCTCCTCATCCTCCCCCCTTCCACGCTTCCTCTCCTCGTTTTTCGCACTCTTCTTCTCCCCAACTACTCCCGGCCTCTGACCAAACCCGTTAATTGCTGCTAACTCGCTTCCCCACTCCTCTCCAACCCCCGAACCATCCACACTCTCTCTTCCCACACCCTCACCCTCGATCCTCTCTTGCCCTCGGTTCACCAAACCTCCCTCTTCCCCCACCATCAGTCTCACCTTCCTCAGTTGTGCCTTCACCAATTCCACCTCCCCCATGAGAACCCGCCTCTCCCTCTCCCCACTCTCCACCCGCTCTTCAAGCCTCCGCACCTCCCTCCCCCTCCGCTCCGCTTCCCTCTCCGCTGCCCGTCTTTCCGTCCGCATCTCCTCCATCTGCCGCCTGGTCTCCGCCACTTGCGCCTCCAGGCGCGCCACTTCCGCCACCCAGAATCGCTGCTGCGCGTCTAGGGATTCACGCACTTCCTGCAGGAGTTTTTCCAGGTGCTTTTTGAAAGAAATCCGCTCCGATATAAGCTGTTTCTGTAGAAGCAGAATGACCTGCTCTGGGGTTTGACAGTCAAGCCAAGAAGGAATGAATTCTTGCGCTGCAAGGGGAGCTGGCGCTATTGGTGCTGCGGTTGCTGCTGCGGGTGCTGCTGCTGCTGGGAGTGCTGCTGCTTGTGATGCTGGTCTTGTGGTAGCTCCTGCTTCCGCTGCCGCTGCTGCTCCCGACCCTGATAAAAGCATGGCGTTTCTTACTGGTTCTGCTTCCACAGCTAGCAGTCTACGTGATGGGTGGTCCGGTAGCGCGTGTTCCTGTAACGCGTATTCCTGTAATCGACGTTCCTGGAGCCATCGTTCTTGTTGTCGTCGTTCCTGTAACCGTCGTTCCTGTAACCGTCGTTCCTGTAACGGTCGTTCTTGAGCATGCAGTTCCTGCCGCTGCTGATCCTGTAACGGCGACTCCCGAGGTTGAGATACATGCACGTGGTGTTCCTCTATGGAGTGTTCCATTAACGAGGCTCCTTCGCCCTGCGCTTCGTTTAACGGCAGTGCAGCGGGCGGCATGGCGAGGTGAGGCATTGTTACACGTAACGCTGTAACCAGCGGCATGGCGGCGGCTGAATCTGCTCCCTTCCTCCGTCTTGCTGTATTCCTCGGAGAAAAATTCAGAACAAGGAACACTAAACTCGATAGCCGACAGAGCTTCTCAAGTGCCACAGCAGCAGCTCCACCTAACGACTAGGCATGTGGCACATCCTGTGCTCTCCTTGGGAACATATTCATCTACTTGCAACTATCATACAAGCACATTACGGGAAACCTAGTTACAGTACGGTGCGGACCGCCTATGGATGAATGGAAGTCTTGAACTCCCAGAGTATGTTATAAGTCTTCTGGCTGTGGTCCTGTTTTTTCTGCAGATTTGGTAGACCATTACGTATCGGGAATTGTGTACACTGAAATCTTTTGTATATTGTATTGCAGCATAAGATTTCAGGAATGCATGGAAATTGTGGAGTCGCATCCTTCGCTGACAACAAGTGTGATTCGGATCACACCGCTCATTTGCCATTCGTCAATTTTCAGTCGAAGGACGAAATCCCACCCTTGTACACTCCACGTCATCCAATTTTCCATGCCAGCGCTTCTTGTTTCCAGCTTGCGATTGGTGCTAGTTTATCCATCCGAATTTCGCTTCGCGCTTCTGGGAATCTGATCGGCTCGACAATTTCAAGGTTTGGCATGTGGAGAATTTTCTCCCTCAGCGCTGCTCCTGCTGCGGCTGGTCGCCACCATGCTTGCTCTCACCTCCTCACAACCAAGGAATTCCTGGCCCGCTCTGGTCCATTTGCCACAACTTCAGCCTCATTGAAGGAGAGCGACTCCTAGCCTGACCACTATCGTTAGGGCTTGAACCGAAAAACTGTTGGTTCGGGGTATTTAAACAGTGTTTTAGTATCCGTTTGGTCCGAGTCGGACGGGTTTGCCTGATCCTTCGACAGACAGTAGCGAGTCACGATGTCGAAGTCGAACGATAAGAAGAAGGAAAAGACGGGTAAGGAAAAGATAGCTGGCCGTCAGATTACTCGTACACATAGCTCTTATGCAGAATAAGTTTTCTGGTTGTTCGGCCTGCATAACATTGATACTGAGAGCCTATTCATGAGATTAAGGCGCGTTGATAACCCATCTCTTTCCTTGTCTCATTCTGCGCTAATTCTACGACGAATGAGCAGCGCTTCTGGATGGCATGGCCACGGACCTGTTCAACCGCGTGGAGAAGCCCATCGAGTACCACAAGCTCTCCCCGTCCGAACACATGGACAGCATCACCGCGATCCATAGGATTCTGTCGCAGGTGATCTCGCATATAGGCTGCGAGAGTAGTACGCACAGCTGGGTGCAGTCACATTTGATAGCGCAAGTGACACGTAAATGCACTCGATGAACAGAAAATGCAGGGTCAAGTTTCGACATAACGTATCATTTAGAGTCTAAATCCGTCGTTCTTCCACCCCAAAAAAATGTCTAGACATCCCTTTACCCTTTAATCGTTTCTCTCGCCAATGAAACCTTCTGCTCTTCTCGCCCTTGCTTGCTCACCCTTCAGATTCAGAAGCACGAGAAGGGACGCCTTTCCACGGAACCACCAGCCGATGCGGCTACTCGTATGAAGTACTTGCAGGAGTGGCTCGAACAGAACAATGTGAAGGTGGGTACCGAGTGAAACGACTGCAGTTGTCGACCATAACCTGCTAAGGCTAGTTTTGTTGACGATGAATTCCAACGACTATGCGATAGACAATGACCTGGACTGGAACGGTAATTTCTGTTGACATCACCAGTAGCGGAACAATGTAGCCAGTCTGAGGTCTGTTTGCTTATGATGTACTGGGGACGGACGCTATCAATTCGGCCAACCAAACACATTGCGACTAATTAACATGTGTTGGGACTCCTCCATAAAATCTCCTGATTGGCTGCTCTTTACTTTCACTAACGCGGACCTTGTGACGTGTCAGATTGACGGGGTCAAGCTCGACGGGAGTCTGCCCGAGGGTCCCGGAGTGGTGGCAACGCGTGACTTCAACGAAGGCGAGCTCGTTGCTTCGTTCCCGTCCGAACTCATGATGACTCAAATTACTGCCGTCCAATCAGTTGTGAGTACCAATCACTTTTAGGCTCAGCTGAAATGTGGGTCCCGCGGGTAAATTCAGACAGTTTCACAACCGCAAGCGTCCATGGGTTTCCAGTTTTTTTCTGGTCCTATTTCTCTCGCTGTCTTCCTGACTTACCTCCATGACTTCCTTTGTTTTTCTTACCACACGAGCAGAAGGACGTGGGGCTAATTCACTCCACGGACGTCTGGTTCAGGGCTGTACCCTCCCTCATCCTCGCCATGCACCTGCTCTTCGAAAAGGTCAGTCCAGCTCTCCCTCTCGAATGCACTTGAATGGTCCATGCGCATGGAAACAGACAGTCCCACACTTCTCCTCAGGCTGCAAGTACCACGCGTATAACGAAAACAGACTTTTGTCTTGTCACATGTTTCACATATAACCTCATCTGCTGTACCGATACCTCCCTTTCCTGTACTGCAGCATCGTCCGGCAGGCTCCCCGTCCAAGTGGTTGGGGTACATCAAGTCGCTGCCAGGCCAGCACTGCCTCTCCGAGTTCAACCAGGATGCTTCCCCCGACGACATCATCCTGCCCCTCGCCTTCAGGTCAGCAGAGGAGATGGTTTTGGATCCCTGTTGCTTCTAAATGGCGGGCTGTAATCATTTGCGCTGCTTACAAGCTCAAAGGCCTATTGGGAATGCATGGTTTTAGCTATGATTTGGCCTGAGATAGTTTCATGCGTTTCCACTTGCGAAGCAATACTTGCCACTGTCCCATTATCTAAAACCCCCTTTCTCCCCCTCTCACCCTCTCACCATCCCCCATCCCCTGCCCGTCTCTCCATGGACTACCTGTCACTGTGTGCCCATCCACCACACCTGCATGGCGTCGCAGTCTCGAGACTGTCTCGCTCCTGCAGGGAACCACGGTATGCCACACAGCCTCTTGCCCCTTCAGTATGTCATGTTTTATGCTGTGCTGTGCTGCACACCATAACCCAAACAGCACCAATGCAGCTCTCTCACTCATGTATGCACGCTGCACACCACACCCGAGTATCACACAGTGACCAAGAGGGTTTAGGGTCTGCCTGAGTACCACCAATTCCCTAAACAGTGGCCAAGCAGCACTATCACATGTGCACAGTGCTGGCCCTTTTGGTTTTGTTGATAAACAGTTCTTCCTCCACTTTATTCTCAATGAACCCTAAAACCCCACAGGCTCTGCCGGAGTACCACCGAATGCTGCGCACAGTGGCCAAGCAGTACTGCCACATGCGCACCGTGCTGCGACAGCTGGGAGTCATTGCAGCCCCCCTCAAGACCGCATCCCGGGAGTGGTTCTGCTATGCCGAGTTCCGATGGGCTGTCTCTGTGAGTGGCGTGATGGCTGTTCTTCAGCATGACGCAAGTGTTTGAATCCGTTGCTGGCGACTTGGGGGGTTATGGACCACCACGTGGCATTTGTTTTCTATAATCAAGTAGTGTCTAATCAGGTTCAGATTCTCCTCGTTCATCTTCTTCTTTTCCTTTGTTCTTTTCTCTCCCTGGTGCTCTATGCACAGATGGTGATGATGAGGCAGACGCAGGTGCCAGTGTCAGCAGAGGCACTAGAGGCAGCAGTGAAGAAGAACCCCAGTGCTGCCGCTGCTGGTGTTGCAGGCACCCCTGCTGAAGCTGCTGCCACTGCTGCTGCTACTGCCGCTGCTGAAGCTGCTGCTGCTGCTGCTGCTAGCTCTGCTGCTGCTGGTGATGCTGTTGCTGGCGATGCTGGTGGTGGTGATGCTGCTGCTGGTAGTGCTGACGCTAGTGCTGTCCCTGCTGCTGACGCGTCAACTGCAGCAGCAGCTGCTGCGCCTGTTCGTCAAGTTATGGCGCTCATCCCCTTTATAGACATGTTCAACCATGAGGTACGTGTACAGTAGGAGGATAGCCTTGTAGGTGGCCAGTTTGCCAAACAAGGGCTCTCATCTCATCCCCCTCGTATCCATGCTTAACCGTGCGGCACGTGTCTGTTTGCTTGTACAGGAGGGTCCTATAACGAGTACGTTTGGCGGTGGGAGCAACGTGATGGAGGTCACTGCCAAGCGCAACTTCAAGGCCGGCGAGCAGGTGAGTGTGACTGTAAAGGAGATAAGATGTGGTTGTAGGTATGTGCTGGCGAACAGGTGGGTGTGATTATATTGGGCTGTAGGGCTACTATCAGGTGTGTGTGAATGTACAGGACTGTAATACAGGACTGCAGATGTGGTACAGAATGCACGGCACTAAATGGGAAACCAAGCATCAGCTCATTTCAAGCATCGCTTAACAATCAGCATGTGCATAACAGACGGTTCCCGACCTAACACCCTAATCTTCATCCCAAACACCACCCCACCAGTGCAATCGCCCCAAACACAAACCATCCATCGGCTATACATGTTCTATGGCTATCGGCCCGACACCATCCATACACCACCCTCCTATCAACCAAGCACCATCGTAGCACCCAGCTACCCATCCATCACCCACTCAACATAACCATTCCACGAGTGCACCTTTTATGTGGCTAGCTTCCACCCTTGATCAGCCGAGCACCATCCTCCAATCACCCAAACACCCGTTCACCATGATCACATCCCATTTTCCAGGTGTAGCTGTCGTACGACTATCACCCGAACATCAACCAATCACCACCCTCTGTTACCTACCTACCCACCCACCCATCCATCGCCTACTCGCCAGGTGTACCTGTCGTACGGCTATCGCCCCAACACTATCATGCTGCTTTACTCGGGCTTCATCCCTAGCTCCAACGACAGAGACCGCTTCCGGTGAGCTTCCACTCCCTGCTGCTCCCCCCTCCCTGCTGCTCCCCCCTCCCTGCTGCTCCCCCCTCCCTGCTGCTCCCCCCTCCCTGCTGCTCCCCCCTCCCTGCTGCTCCCCCCTCCCTGCTGCTCCCCCATCCCTGCTGCTCCCCCCTCCCTGCTGCTCCCCCCTCCCTGCTGCTCCCCCCTCCCTGCTGCTCCCCCCTCCCTGCTGCTCCCCCCTCCCTGCTGCTCCCCCCTCCCTGCTGCTCCCCCCTCCCTGCTGCTCCCCCCTCCCTGCTGCTCCCCCCTCCCTGCTGCTCCCCCCTCCCTGCTGCTCCCCCCTCTCTGCTGCCCCGCACTCCCTGCTGCCCCGCACTCCCTGCTGCCCTCACTCCGCCACGTCCCCCATTCACTGCCAATGATTGCCTCTCCTTATCTGCCTGCCCCTCCTTACCTGCCTGTCACTCATGTTTCTGCCCCTCTCTGTCTGTCTTTGCCCCTCCCTGTTCTGCCCCGTCTGTCTCTACCCCTCTCCTTTCTGCCCCTCCCTGTCTGTCTCTTCCCCTCATCTGCCCGCCAACAGCATACCACTGGAGCTGTCACCCTCCGACCCACTCTACAATAAGAAGGTACGCCAAGTGGCAGGAAGTCAGTATGTACGTAAGTTCGGCTCAAAGAAGAGCCACGTTCGGAGGAAGGTGGGTACAATCTGACATGCTGGTTGGAATGACACAGCTGAAATGGCACCTTTGAAACACGATGTTGTACCCGAGCTGTCTGTGTGGCTCGTTGGTTTCCCCTCATCCTCACTCCACTGCCCCCGTCTCCCCGCTCTACTCGTTCTCCCAATCCAGCTGGCACTCCTCAAGTGGCTGGAGCTACCGCCCTCCACCCATCTGGACCTCTTCTGGACTGGCAAGCCATCTCCGGAGCTGGCCACATGGCTTAGAGTGGCGACCACCACTGATGAGGCGCAGATCACAGAGGATCTGCGAGGAGCCATTGCTGCACGCGCCAAGGAGACAGCTGAACTACTGGAGGCACATGGGAAGGATAAAGGTGAGCCCGTGGGAGGCGTGACAGTGGGCATGTGGTTGTAGGCCAACCACGATGGGCATAGAATGGAGGGGGAATTTTTTCAAGGATGTAAGATGAGTGACAAAGGGCAGAACACAGAGGATCTGCGAGGGTCCATTGCTGCACGCGCCAAGGAAACAGCTGAATTCCTGGATGCGCATGGGAAGGATAAAGGTGAGTGCATGGGAGTGGTGAGGGTGGGCATGTGGCTGTGGTTCAACCACGACAGGAAAAGCATGGAGGGGGGGGATTCTTAAGGATGAGAGATGACTGATGAGACGCATATCACATAGGACCTGCAAGGGGTCATTGCTGCACGCGCCATGGAGATAGCTAAATTGCTGGAGGCGCATGGGAAGGATAAAGGTCAGCACATGTGAACGGAGGAAATGGTAAGGACTGGGGAAACAGGGGTAATGAAGGGTAGATGGATCACAACAGGCCAAAAGAAGAATTGTTCACCATTTGGCCTCCCATTCCGATGAGATGGCTGTACCACTGCTTCACATACATGCCACTTGTTTCATATGCCAAAGGTTGTCCTTTCCTCTCTCGTCTCCTCTCTTCTCCTCTCCTCTCCTCCATTCCTCTCTCCTCTCCCCTCTTCTCTCTTCCTCCAGCAACAACGAACGGCCATGCTGAACCAACCAGCAAACCAGCCAGCAGTGCAGATGTAACTCTGACCAAGGCTCAAGCCGACCTGCTCAGCAGTATCTGCCAACGCAAGCTTCAGGAGCTTCAAGCAGGAGCCACAGCAGCATCACCTGCACCTGCTGGTTTAGGCTTGGGTGGAGGCTTGGACACTCGTTCGGCAGGAGCCAAGGCGTGTGAGAAGGAACTGCAGCTGGCTCGACAGCTAAGGGAGGCGGAGGAAGGGGCTTTGAGCAAGGCACTGGAGATGTGTGGTCTAGTGAGCGCTTAACGTTGCAGAATCAGAGTTGGACCAGAAGTTGTGGAACAGGCTGAGGCGGGAAAGGGCAAATTTCTACATGTTTTGGTTAGGAATATGCATATGCAGTATGCACCATCCAGAGGTGAATAGCATGACATACAAGTTTCTGCATTTATGGATGAGGTTGTGTTCTGAAGAACCACATAAATGGCTGGGGCGATGGACTCCCATGGGTGCGGTGATTTGAGTCCCATTTGGGTGCTTCTGGCATCAGAAGTGCACAAAGACTCGAATTAAATACATTAATAAACTGTAGGTTGTGATAAAATGTACCGTATCACCCCGGATAAAAGAGCAGGTGCGCTTATAATAAAACAGTGTTTTTTAGGGGGGTGCGCTTCTAATTGAGTCATTTTTATAAGCGCATGCGCTTATACCGTATCACCCCGGATAGAAGCGCAGGCCAATTTTAAGCGCATGCGCTTCTATCTGGAGCAATGCGCTTATGGCCGATCCACAATTATAAGCCCACCCCCTGCGAAAATGTAACTTATTATAGGCGCATGTACAACTTTGAATAAGAATTTCTGTTCGAGACGGTAGCGAGTTTCAATTTTGAAGCGAGTACTATATCATTTTCGCTGAGTTTGACTCTCAAAGATCTGACTGGCTGCGAGTCCAGTCAGGATGTGCTGGCATGACTGCAAAGTGTTGCATCTTGGCCCCTGTGTGCTGGAGAAGAATCGCTTGGAGATTCTACATTGTGAGGCGAAATTTTTCGACTCGGTTGAAATGGCAAGAGTGAAACATGCAATCTGGTGTCTTCAATATATAAATTCGTATATGTCATTATATAAGCGCATGCGCTTATAAAAATGACTCAATTAGAAGCGCACCCCCCTAAAAAACTCTGCTTTATTATAAGCGCAGGTGCGTTTCTATCCGGGGTAATACGGTATAATGACATCTACAGGTTTATGATTTTAAGACACCAAATTGCATATTTCACTCTTGCCATTTCAACCGAGTCGAAATTGTGAGGATAGTTGTTGGAAACAATGGAACTTAAACGCTTCAGCAGTGTCGAAACATTGCACCAGAAGCGAGGCAACCTACACCGAAGCACCTGCGAGTCAACCCTCGGAGGTTGAATCGGCTGCAGGAAGTTACGCGAAAGTCAACGGTCGCTGACCCTGGACCTGACAAGAACAGCGCGACAGTTTAGGACACACAACTGACTCGTTACAGAGCAGTTGCCCGAGTCGCACTATATCGAACCGCAACAGCAACAGTAAAAGTAGTTATAACCGTATCCCTTCATATTCCCTGTATTATTATATAAGCTTGTATCTTTTCTCTATAATTAATCTACTTTGCTCTCACACACTAGTGCAAGGTCGGTTCACAAAGCTTCATTAAACGCTTCCGCTATTACAAAGTATCCTACCCAGAATTATCCTCTGCAAAGATCCTTAAGGGCTTCTCAGCCCAACATGGAATGAGAGCTGACAGGGGAAACTCTACCTTTTCAAGATCATTACAAGACATGGCAACAAACAAGGAACGGAGCTCCCCTAATGGCTCCTCGGGCACTACTCCTACTCCACCGCCAGCCTCTGGCCTGCAGACAGAGAAAGGCACGGCAGCAAGACCAAGGGGAACGTCAACCGAGACCCCCACGAATCATCCTTCTGACTTTGATCAGAGCATGATGGAGAAATTTTTCTCCTTCATGTCCTTCTACAAGCAACACCAGCAGTCGGGACCTGCACAGACACACAACAGTAACAACGGAGCGACACCCATGAGCCTTGACGGGTCGTCATATGCGCGAGGGAATCAACAGCAGCGACCCTGAGGAAAACTGAACGAGAATGAGTGAACTATGAAATGAAGTGAGTACAAATATGAAACCCTAATTGGGTTGTACCCCCTATGGGATACCCCACTGAAGCCTACAGAAATGAGTAAGCTATAATGTTCTGACAGACCCCCATAGGCAAAGTGGGGGAGAACAAAGGGTCACAAGACCAGTCAAGCAAAGCAAAGCAAAGCTCAGGGTGGATCACAAAGTCACCACACATTCCGTGCACAAGTTCAAGGGCCACAAGGCCAGTTCAAATGCAAGATCATATATAAAGATATACAAGAGTCAAGCAAGTAAGAGCAAGAGTATATATAGGTGAAGGTACAAGCAAAGTCAAGAAGTGAGCAAGTGAGGCAAGACAGGCACAAGACCCAGCTGCGTGCAACAACGCTAATGATAACAAGGCGCAAGTGCCTTGGTGAAGACATCAGCAGTGTTGGCCTCAGAGGCCACGTACGCAAGTCGCAACTGTCCACGCTGCTGTAGCTCACGAGCAAGAAAGTAGCGGAGAGCAATGTGCTTTGTCCTGTGCTCCAGTCGCTGCTCTCGACACAAGGCCAGCATGGCCTTGTTGTCTACGTACAAGACTGGAGGAGAACGAGGCGGATCTCCAAGGTCGGTCAGCAGGTAGGTGAGCCAGCGTAACTTCTGTGCAGCCATAGCCCCGGCGTAGATCTCAGCCTCACAACTTGAGCCGAGAACAGAAGACGAGCGGGTAGCCCGCCACGAAACAGAGCCGGAACCAAGGCTGAAGGAGTGACCCATAGACGACCGCTGCGTAGCCTGGTCGTCAGCCCAAGAAGCGTCCGCGTGCCCAGTGAGGACCACTGGACTACGCCCTCCAAGCACTAGCCCCATGCCCGACGTACTGCACAAGTAGCGCAACACCCTCTTCGCTGCAGCCATGTGCTCTGGTCGGTGTCTCCTAGGAGCAACATAGCGTGCGAGAATGCTAAGAGGGTATGCCAGGTCAGGTCGTGTGCAGGTCATCAGGTACATGAGGTAGCCAACAAGCTCTGCATACGGGCCACTCGACTCTACGGACTCATCCGAAGGCAGAGCTGAGAGCGAGTGGCGAGTAGGCAGAGGAGTGGCCTGAGGCGAGGAGTACGTGAAGCCGAAGCGCTGAAGGACCTGCTGCACCATGTGTGACTGAGTCAGGGTAATGGTGCGGCGTGCTCTGTCCCGGGTGATCTGCAAGCCAAGGTAGCTGCGCAGTTCACCCAGGTCTGTGCACGTGTGTCTCTTCTGCAGCTCAGACTTCACGTAGGCGAGTCCAGCAGTGTCAGCTGTGGCAAAGACCAAGTCGTCGACGTACACGAGGATGTAGAACGGCGGCAGAGAGGTGTCGGTGCGCAGAAACAGCGATGGGTCGGCAGTAGAAGGAGCAAACCCAAGTGCCGCTAGCGTAGTCCTCAGTGTGTCCTGCCACTCACGTGGCGCGTGGCGGAGACCGTAGACTGGACGCCGGAGACTCCACTGGGTACCAGGAGGGAAAGACCCAGTGAAGCCAGGTGGGCGACGCAGCCAGATCTCCTCGTGCAGGCTGCCCTGCAAGAAAGCAGTGCTGAAGTCGAGAGAGTGCAGCTCGTAGTCACGGTGAGCAGCAACGTGCAGCAGTACCCGAAGAGTGGTCATCTTCGGGGTGGGGGAGAAGGTCTGAAAGTAGTCAACCCCCTGCTCTGAGTGAAGCCACGAGCCACGTAACGCGCCTTGAAGACAGGCGGAGAACCCGGCGGCCGCTTCACCCTGAAGATCCACATGCCACTGACGATGTTCGCCCCAGGAGGGGGAACATCGTCAACGTAGGTGCCTGTGGACTTCTAGGAAGCCATCTCTGCATCCATAGCTGCCTGCCACTGAGAGGAGTAGGGACCCTCTATCGCCTCCGCGTAAGAGCGCGGAGTCGGGATGTCTAGTGCATCCGGGTCTCCCTCAGGGGCTAGCAGTACAGACGCGAGATGAGGTGAAGCGGCGGCCAGACAGTGGAATGTCAGAATATTATTCTTATGTTCTAGCTTGTAGTGGGGTGCTCTATAGCAAGTACAACCCTTCTAGGGTTTGCTATTTGTATCCCCATTTCTGCTAGTTCATTCCTCTCTCTTTTTTTTCTTCAAACTTTAACATGGAACTCCTCCTGCCTGTCCTCAAGGACATCCGTGCCAAGGGCACACTCACCCCCGACGGACGGAGGACAGGCCGGCTCAGACTCAGCAACAAGACTAGCAGCGTAGTCTAGACGGCAGCGCGCAGCAAAGTCGACGAGCTCAGTGACAAGGGCAGACGCAGCAGACGACTCGAAAGAAGGGTCAGTGACAGCAGTAGCAAGGAGACGCGTGACAGTAGGACTGGCAGCACGAAGAGAGTCCGACTCCGGGTCGGCAAGAGTAGGAAGAGAGGAAGCAGGAGGAGAAGGCAAAGGGGCACGTAGAGGAGCAGTGGACGGACCCAGAGACATCCGGTGCGTGCCAGGGACAGGAGGAGGACGCTGACGCGAACCGCGACCACTAGTGCGCGCAGTACGAACAGGCGACGCAGGACGAGACGCAGGCTCACGACGCTCTGTAAGACCTCCAGTCGGACTTTCGTAGGGAGAAGGAGTAGGCAAAGGGGAGGCAGGCTGTAGCTGTGACTGTGACGGGACAGGCTGTGGACCCTCTAAGGGAGGAGGAGGAGGACCATGAGAAGGTGTAAGACCAAGAACCTGCTGCAGGAGCGGAAAAAAGTACAATTGGGGCCGCGTGGCGTCGCCAGAAACAGCAGGGACAGCACCAGTACCCCCAGGAGGAGTACCCACTCCAGCAGCACCTCCAGCAGCACCTCCAGCAGCACCACCAGAAGCACTGCCAGTCGGACCGCCAGCGGTAGTCTCAGCGCCAACACCCTCAGCAACACTAGCTCCAGGAGAACCCTCAGACCCAGCAGCTCCAGCACCCACAGCACGAGCACCTCCGGGATGCTCGGCAGCAGCACCCTCTGCAGCCGAAGAACCTCCAGCACCAGCAGCACGCCTCCAGCGCCGGGCAAACCACTCACGCAGCTCCTGTGGGGAGAGTGGCTCTCGGCGAGACGAAACACCGCCAAGCGGAGCACCCCCAGTCTCAGCACCCCCAGGCTGAACACCCCCAGGCCCAGCACCCCCAGGCTCAGCACCCCCAGACTC